TAATACCGCCCTTGGGATTCTTTTGATAAATTAAAGCGATTTTCTTTCATAAGAATATATATATATATATATATATATAATATATTTTTTTTTTTCGAAATATACATTCGAGATTATTTGCGGCATGCAAACTTCTGTGACGTTCCCATCCTGTCAACAATGATCGATATTTTAATCGATTTATTTCAATCGATTTTTACACAAACATATCGCACATACATTTTTTTTATCTACGTAGTAAAGATATTATAATGCCATAGTTTTAAAATTAGGTTTTTGTGTAGTTTACCTTATACAAAAATAAAATTATCTGTTCGCACATACATTCTATTAACACCGTCTTCGTTTATATCTATTTTTTATCTCTCATTACTCTCCATCTCATGAACTCAAGGGTTATGTATATTTGCCCCTTGACCTTTATCTCGGCTCTGTCTACTGAACTGACTCAATACTTACCACACGCTTTATCAATCTTTAAGTACATACATGATTTCAACTTTTTAGTAGGAACAAAGGGAGAAGTATCTACATTTATTACACATACATGCGCATGGTCATATATTTCATTGTCTTTTAAGCTTCATTTGCAATATCAAAATGTATATTGACCTATTCAACTTGCATATACAAAAGAACAATCTTGTTTTACTGCTATAGTTTTTTAAAAAATGACAAAGGCATAAGTATAAAAATATATTAGCCTTAAGCTAAATCTAGTCAGTATGATACGACCCACAGTAGTATTTGTGTACCAGAAATCTTGTATATCATTAAGTATCTAATTCCTAAGGATATATAATTTGTATTTTACTTGTGATAAAATTAGTTTTTTTAATGTTTTTTGCTTTTAGTTTTATCTAACAGTATTGATGCTGATTTGTGACCCACAAAGGTGTCTGTAGCCCTACGATACACTTACATATATAACATTGAGTTAGAAAATTAAATTTACTTTAGAAAAATTAAGAAATAAAAAAAGAATCCAATTAAAGTTTCAAAATACTAATTATAATTAATTTCAATAATTAACAATAAAGTTAACTTTGTTCAATTACCAGTATAATTTTTTGTGTTTAAAATATTAAATTTGGCTCTTGTGAGCGGGAATATATTTCGATCCTCTACCAGTAGATGAACAGTCTGGTTATCCCAGGGGCATGGGTACAGAGCTCACTATCAGGGTGTGGTGGCCTTTGCATACCTGTGTTGTCTACCTGTTGTGTAGTTTTTACTGGTTGAGTTCCTCTCTCGCTAAGCAGGCTCAGTCAAATGTTTTACCGGAACAAACAGGCCAGCTAAGCAGCTGCGCTGTTTCTAGTAGCAGTAAGGACCTGACCAATACTAAAATATAAACAATCCGGTTTGCCATGTAGAAAGATTAGTGTTTTATTATTATCATCAGTATTATCGACGTGAACAAAGAAATGCCAGAGATGTACTGGAACAACTGTATATTAGTGATTATACTATTAGACTTGCTTGTTACTACTGCTATTACTAATAATATTATTAGTATTGTTATGTGAAGAATGATAGGAAAATACACCCTTAAAACTGCAGGTGACATTAGTATGATTTGCTATTAGTTAACTATTATTAACTATAATATCCAACTGATGCAAAACTAGGACAAAGATTGTGTTGTAGCTTGTGTATTTGGGATATTGCCATAGTTTAAACATTTTACTCAGAATCTAATGAGTTATAAATATAGAATTATATTTGAATATTTTTTATAGAGTTCTATTTTCTATAAAGTAAAAATAAAACCTGAAAACAAATTCAAAAATTATCTCCTCAATAAGACAAAAGCATAGAATAGTCAGAGAGAAGTCTAAAATCGTTGGTGAACCTAATGAGAAACTCACGACAGTGGTAATAATTTGTTATATTAGCTTGCTAAGAACCTTTCTGTATCGAAGTTTTTATTTGTAAAAGCAAAAATAAAGGATACAAGTGTGAAATATATATATATATATATATATATATATATATATACACACAATAAAAATGTTTTCAGATTACGTGCTAACCACTGTTCTATGGCAAGGAATTCATTTGGTGATTATTAAGCTTAGCTTGGATTGGCACGTGGTCACAGGTGCAGGACACATCATATGGGAGACTACCTTTCTAAATATTGTTCTATAGCAAGAAAATCTGTGAAAAGTTGCTTGAATGCCAGTGTTTATTATGCTTAATTTTATCTTTAACTATAGAACTTTTAAATTTCTGTAAATCATTTGCGTCATAGTGACTTTATTGCCTTGTTTGGGTGAAATGATTTTAAAAAAATATTGTGTAATATTGAGCAGAAAGTTATATACTTGATGAATAGAAAATGTCTTGAAATTCTGTGTAAACGTAACTTAGAAAACTTTTCTTTGGTTCAATCCATCGATTGTAACAATATTTCCAGTTTATGAATTTTATTTTTAATATTAAATATATTCCCTGTAGTAGTTTTCTGTATGTTGTGTGATTGTTAATGTAACATAAAAAAACTGCACGTTGTAACTTAATTTCCGTTAGAGCATTTTAATGCAATTTGTCCTAGCTTGGGAAAAAACAATTTTCAGTTCAATCAAACCACCTGTTTTTATACTTTTTAAATTAACAATAAATGCTTTTCCAAACTAGACAATGCTAGGTTAAGCGACTGTTAATTAGTCGTTTTTCTGTTTTTGTTAATAAGAATATGAGATTAAAAATCCTTGACCTGATTGCATTTTTCTAAGTTAGACAATTTAGTATATTTTAATAGTTACTACTAATAATTAATCTTAATAATAATAAGATTTGTAAATAATTATAATATACATTCTATAAATAGTAAGATGACATGGACCTGAGGTCACCAAAAGTGTCATTTAAGCATTAAAAGTTGGAGTGTAAATTACCCTGTATTTGTTCAAAATATGATGATGACAGCTATTACGTTGTTGTAAAAAGCATTTTATATTGCCCTAAAAAAATACTAAAGCTTTGAAAAATATCAAATCGACTTAGAAATTTTCAGCAACAATGTGTATTTTAATTTGTTTTGACTCTTGCTCTTATAATGTCAAATTAAGACCCGTTCACCATGAAAACTAAAAAGAAAATGAGAAAGAAAGGCGGAGTTTAGCATTCATGTGAGGATTAATTCTTTAAAAAAAATACTATAATTTTCTCTACTGTTTGATAGTTATTTCCAACGTTTTCTGTGGTAACAATCAATTGTAAATTTTTCTTGCTATGGAAAATGGTAATATTATCAAGATTCCCACACGCTCACAAGTCCATCGTTGAATATTTATTAAATTTTTAAACAAATGTCCACACTACCTTCTCTCTCATTTTACAAACCAAAGATTTGTTTCTATGAATGAAGCGACCTCAACGAAATTGAAGAATGCTACTAAGTTTTGTTTGCTGTAGCAGCTGTCAGAATCACAGAGCCTCCGCATGTATACATAGAGGGTGCGATGGGTAAAGTGTCGTTTAAATTACGCCAAAATGAAAATAACACTGACATCTCATTTTAGCAGATATATTTACCAAAATTACACAATATCTTGAAATACTAAAGAGTAAATTTATTCAATAAGATCGCCATTGGATTCAACTATGGTCTCCAGACGACTTCGAGATCTCTTGCATCTCTTCTCTCCTTGTTGAAGTTGGCGAATGCTACCATAATCCTTACATTCAGGTCATCTTTGATGTTATAAAGAGTTTTGTTGGTCACTCGTTCAACTGCGCCCCACACATAATAATCAAGGGGTGCAGTCTGGGGAATTAGGTGGCCAATATGTAAGGGGTGATGTGGTCGAAGAAATTTCCTGGCAGTCATGACTGGATTATCCTGCTTCTGCTTATGTGTCACTGTGCTGAGTCTTCCAGCAGTCACCTGCTTGACCCAGGGTAGCGTTACCTCCTCAAAGCACTTGATGTCGGTCCCCGTGTTGAGTTTGAGGCCCTCCACAACAAAATTCGGGAATTCTTTTCTTATCATAACGATCAGAATGTGTTTACCGAACTGACGTGCTTTCGTAATCGCCATTAGACTCCTCCAACTCTTTCCGAATACTCTGCATTGTCGTCAGATTGACACCCAAACACTCTGAAACGTTCGTATTGGAGCTTCGGTGCGAAGGACAAGCAGTGCAGAATGCCGTTTCCAAATTTCTGGCGGAGTGATTTACATCATGGTACCCTTTTTCTCACAGGCGGCACCCAACTGACCTTAATATACTGTTGAATTAAGATGAAAAACAACGCACATTCGCCAAATTAAAAATATAAAATGGCTACAATTTACTCATCGTACCCTGTGCATGTGTGTATAATATATATATATATATATATATATATATATATATAATTTATGTGTGAGACAGTTTGTATGCATAAAATATGACATCTTTACGAACAATTCTCCTGTCCAGTTCTGGAAATTCATATCCCATGCACGCAGGCATTTTCAACATAGAAATAAATGTGTGGAAATAAAATGAGAGTGAGGGCTCCTAAAAAAAACAAAAACATAATTTCAGTAATTTTTACACGTGTGTACACATGTGCAGCGAAGGGGAAAGCATATATATATATATATATATATATATATTGACCGGTGCGAGCAACTCCCGGAAAAGATTAGGCCGGAATGAAAACAGAAAACCGATTTCTGGACATCTGTTAGTGAAATCTAATTTCCATAACATCCACGGCAATTTTTTCCCCTTGTAAGAGCGGGATGATTTTTTTCTAGAGGCCACTCCCTACCCAAAACAGGATCGCAAGGAGATTTTGTCCCCAATTGTAAAGATTGTTTATATGCAGATAAGGTGACTCCAGTCCAACTATTTTCTTTACACTGCTTGTCTTTTATTAATTTACTATTGACTTCCTTCTGAATTAAATTCAGAAATTACATAAGATAGTGAATAATAATACATGCTAGCCGATATCGTGTACACGTGTACTTTTACATGTAAAATTGCATATATCAATAGATGCCCACTTTCTTCACTCTTTCTCCCTATTCCCCCTCTTGCTCCCCATCTCACTCTCTCTTCCTCTCACTCTCTCTTCCTCTCTCGCTCTCTTCCTCTCACTCTCTCTTCCTCTCTCGCTCTCTTCCTCTCTCGCTCTCTTCCTCTCTCGCTCTCTTCCTCTCTCGCTCTCTTCCTCTCTCGCTCTCTTCTCTTCTCTCTTCCTCTCTCTCTCTTCTCTCTCTCTCTTCCTCTCTCTCTCTCTCCCTCCCTCTCTCTTCCTCTCCCTCTCGCTCTTTTTCCTCTCTTTTTCCTCCTCTCTCTCTTTTTCCTCTCTCTCTCTTTTTTTTTCCTCTCTCTCTCTCTCCCATCCCTCTCTCTCTTTTTTCCTCACTCTCTCTCTCCCATCCCTCTCGCTCTTTTTTTCCTCACTCTCTCTCTCTCCCATCCCTCTCGCTCTTTTTTTCCTCACTCTCTCTCTCCCATCCCTCTCGCTCTTTTTTTCCTCACTCTCTCTCTCCCATCCCTCTCGCTCTTTTTTTCCTCACTCTCTCTCTCCCATCCCTCTCGCTCTTTTTTTCCTCACTCTCGCGTTTTCTGAAGAGTGAAGAAAGTGATCTCCCTCTTTCTTCACTCTCCCTTCCATCAATTCTGTATCTGGGTCGCTTGCAAAAAAATTGAGTATTCCTTTTCACTGTTGGTGGCCATGTACCGCTTTCACGATCACTCACATTCTCTCATATCATGGAAATCTTTGATTTTTTTTTCTCTCACTCGTTCTTTCAATGAATACTTATTTCAAAAAATCTTAAGGATTATCATTAAAGTTACACAACATTTGCTTATAATTTTTTGGTAAAGACTATTACTTATTGTAGTCCATAATTTCAAACTAACTGGCAACAACTGTTTGTGACATTGTACTAAACCTATTTAATTTTGGCACAACTCCATAAGTTTGGAAAAACCTCCAGAAAATAATAATTTTCTAAAACTAGCTTGACAAAATCTTCAGTAAAGGTCCTATTATTGTTGTTCTTTAAGGACTAAGCACGGTTATTAAATATTTAATAAGATGAATTTAGTTTGACATAAGAACACTAAATGATGATCGAGCTTAGTACGCATTAATAATGACCTGCGATACAAGCTTGCTAATAATTACCCGACAGCAAAACCTCTAAACATTTTCGAACCTCAGTTTATGCCGGCACGTACTCGGTGAGGATTAAACTCTCTCTACACGAGCAATTGGGCTATGAAGAAAACTTCTTAACGAGCTGGTTACAGTAAATTAAACGTCTCTAAAAGAATAATCTTAGATATAAAATCATGAACACCTATCAAATCGCATCAAATTATGATGACACAGATTGTCAGAGTAACACGTTGTCTTTCATAATCGTTTTTGTTACAATGAGGGATTGCTTGTTTATGTCTATCTCTTCACCAGCATCCAAGTGGGCCACCAAGTGATTATAAAAATTAGTAGCAGTATATTTATTTGTGAGATTAATAAATGAACAATCGCTCAACTTTGGATCATAAGGCCTGTAATCCAATACGGTCTCTGGGGTACGATATGTACTGCAGCTATAGCAGCAGTGGTGTGTCTAGGGTAAGACAGCTTGACAGAGCCCCTCTCTTTTCAGACCGATTTTGAATTCCGAATTGTCCTTCTACTGTCAGAATAAACAAAATTTATTACATATTTATATATAAAAAAGACTTGCTTTTCAGACACAGACACAGTGACAATACTGAGTCAGTGGGTACTCATGTTTGAGTTGGCATCCCCGTTTCTTAGTCAATGAAATTAATATGTACTGACTTAGAGATCAATAGTCTTATTAAAGAAATATCTCCCGAAAGGAATCAAAGCAATATTCTCTTTATAACTTGGGAAATCACCTTCAATTTTTTTACCATCAAGATACGAAATATAAGTATTTAAAAAAAATAATTAATGGATCTTTTAATCTAATATTATTTCTTATTACTTCAAACATATTGATGCACATAATTGTATAAGTTATATCTACACAAAGGTTTGTGTTTGTGTAAACGCATAAATAGATCACTGGTTTCTATCGACTTACTGTGGAGCGATTTCAGTAAACGTTTTTTCTCTTTTTCTTTTTTTTAATGGAGCGAACAAGTCATTCTCATGTCCATTCTTCCACTCTTACCTGGGCTTTATCAGCTTAGAGTTTTCTTAGACTATGTTTAAATGGCTAAAGTGTTTCATCTGCTATGATATTTATCTATTGCTGGTGGATGGATAATTCGATACATACCTTTTCTAATGCTGGTAGTGCAAAGTGAGCGAAAGTGTTTCCGGCTGAAATTAGAACTTTGTTCATCGACTTATTTTTTGCTCTGGAAAACACACACTTTTACTGGACCAAATTTTGCAGAAGAGAAAATGTTTTCCCCATTTGTCTCTCAAACGGGCTATAACTGGCCAGTTTGTGTTCATGTCTAAATTTTATTTAAATTCTGAAGGTTAGTATTATAGTGTAAGTAACAGTTTGGAGTAATTGCTAAAACACGAGAAATATCAGGAACATCTCAACGCTAAATGATTTTGGGATGTGCGAGGAAGAGAAAGGATGAGAGTATAAATATATATTTAAAAAATAACTATTAGTATGAAAGTAAATGAATAACGAAATTTCTGATAATTGTTCAAACACAATTTCACACACTCATGAACATATGTATACACGCTTACCTAAAGTTGTATTGAAGTTGACATAAGATTATATATACTTGTCACTTAATATAACCCGCTTTTGCTCCTCTCTCTGTCGTTTTCTTTTTCTCTTCCTCCCATACTAACTTTTCTTCTTCCTCACTATCAGGCAAAAGTAGATTTTTCTGCCATAGATAAATTCCCTCCCTCTTTCTCGCTCGCCTACTCACTCGTTCGCATGTGTTGATGTATAATGATAGTGACTCACATATAACTATGTGTATACCCAAATGTTGCTTGCATTTACCGATGAAATTGGTTATTATCAATTTCTTCCATAAATGCCACATGCCTTCACGAGGCAGACGATCATGGATTTCTACGACTTCCCTTTAATCTCTAAACAGTGCATTGCTAGGAGTGTTCTTAGTAAAGATAATGAAATGGTTTGAATTTAAAGTAAATCTAGACTGGATGCCAACCAAGGTTGAAGAATCCAGTCTGCTTTTGGTACGTAGATGACTACCATATATGTTTTTCTTTGGCATTAATGAAACCAACTCATAAAAGCACATATGTAGCTACCTGCCGACAGCATAACCATTTACCTATTAAGGTTTATTTGCAAATTCATGAAAGAAGGAACAGAGAAGCGTGTGGTTTTCATTTTAGTAAAAGTTGTCGTTTGCTATAATTCCTCAGAAACAGTCACTCCCTACCTATACAAACCATTATACCATTTATGGCATTGGAACGAATTAAAGATGTTTCTTTCCGAAATCAACCACAACGTATTTTGTCGGCAAATCTCTTGGGTTTTCCAGATCATCCAGACATTTACACACGCAAAATCATCGGCGTTTCTTTATTGCTAAGGGCTATCCGGAAACGAGGGATATCCAGGTGTTAGCTAAGGACAGATATGGGAGGGGTCACGATGGCTTGTACGTATACATCTACAATTGACTTGTTTTTCTGTGGGATTTGTATAGCTAGAGAAAATGACTACGAGAATAGGCCACAACCTTTTTAATGAAAAACAAAAAAAAAGCTAGCGTCGCACACGATTTTAACGAAGGTCTTCGAACGGTTTCTGTTAACATAAAATAAATCGAATAATAAATGTTCTCCTAGTGTAACTCCTGTTTCTATCAATTCAACGCTTTTATCAATTTTGATTAAGAAATGAGGTCTTTTCCGAATTAAGGAAGAACGTTCATCTGCTTCAAAATATTTTTTGCTTTCATTTCAATGATTCCATGTTTTAGAATATGTTTAAGCACATACAACCTAATTAAAATGCATCATAGATTATTTTGCATTTTTCCTTCCTATATTACATTCTTCTTGTACATTCATCCCTCAATTACGCCACTACTCCAAACTCCACCTGTTCATTCTCTCTCTATCGCCGTTTCTCTCTCTCTATCGCCGTTTCTCTCTCTCTATCTCCGTTTCTCTCTCTCTATCTCCGTTTCTCTCTCTCTATCGCCGTTTCTCTCTCTCTATCGCCGTTTTTTTCTCTCTCTCTATCGCCGTTTTTTCTCTCTTTCTATCGCCGTTTTTTTCTCTCTTTCTATCGCCGTTTTTTTTTTCTATCGCCGTTTTCTATCTCTTTTTTTTCCTCTTTCTATCGCCGTTTTTTTTCTCTCTCTATCGCCGTTTTTTCTCTCTCTCTCTCTATCGCCGTTTTTTCTCTCTCTCTCTATCGCCGTTTTTTTTCTCTCTCTCTCTATCGCCATTTTTTTCTCTCTCTCTCTCTATCGCCTCTCTTTTCTCGTTTCTCTCTCTATCGCCGTTTTTTCTCTCTCTCTCTATCGCCGTTTTTCTCTCTCTCTCTATCGCCGTTTTTTCTCTCTATCGCCGTTTTTCTCTCTCTCTCATCTATCGCCGTTTTTTCTCTCTCTCTCTATCGCCGTTTTTTCTCTCTCTCTCTATCCGTTTTTTTTCTCTCTCTCTCTCTATCGCCGTTTTTTTTCTCTCTCTCTATCGCCGTTTTTTTCTCTCTCTCTATCGTTTTTCTCTCTCTCTATCGCCGTTTTTTTCTCTCTCTCTCTCTATCGCCGTTTTTTTTCTCTCTCTATCGCCGTTTTTTTTCTCTCTCTATCGCCGTTTTTTCTCTCTCTCTATCGCCGTTTTTTCTCTCTCTCTATCGCCGTTTTTCTCTCTCTCTCTATCGCCGTTTTTCTCTCTCTCTCTATCGCCGTTTTTCTCTCTCTCTATCGCCGTTTCACTCTCTCTCTCTATCGCCGTTTCTCTCTCTCTCTCTCTATCTTGTTTCGCCTCTTTCTCTCTCTCTCTATCGCCGTTTTCTCTCTCTCTCTCTCCGTTTTTTCTCTCTCTCTCAGTTTTTTTTCTCTCTCTCTCTATCGCCGTTTTTTTTCTCTCTCTCTCTATCGCCGTTTTTCTTCTCTCTCTCTCTCTCTCTCGCCGTTTTTCTCTCTCTCTCTCTATCGCCGTTTCTCTCTCTCTCTCTCTCTCTCTCTCTCTCTCTCTCTCCGTTTCTCTCTCTCTCTCTCTATTTCGTTCTCTCTCTCTCTCTCTCTCTCTCTCTATTTCTCTCTCTCTCTCTCTCTATCGCCATTTCTCTCTCTCTCTCTCTCTCTCGCCGTTTTCTCTCTCTCTCTCTCTATCCTTCGTTTCTCTCTCTCTCTCTCTCTCCGCCGTTCTCTGTCTCTCTCTCTCTCTCTCGCCGTTTTCTCTCTCTCTCTCTCTCTCTCTATCGCCGTTTCTGTCTCTCTCTCTCTCTCCCTCTCTTTGTTCGTTTCTGTCTCTCTCTCTCTCTCTCTCTCTTTGTTCGTTTCTGTCTCTCTCTCTCTCTCTCTCCGTTTCTGTCTCTCTCTCTCTCTCTTTCTCCGTTTCTGTCTCTCTCTCTCTCTCTTTGTCCGTTTCTGTCTCTCTCTCTCTCTCTCCGTTTCTGTCTCTCTCTCTCTCTCTATCGCCCGTTTCTTTCTTCTCTCTCTCTATCGCCGTTTCTGTCTCTCTC